CAAATATTCTTCCATGCTGGTTTTCCAACATGCTGTAATTTAAAAATAACTAGGCAAGCTCAATATTTAGATCACTGTTACCACATAGGATAGAGCTTTTCCTCTAATCGTTAGAATATTCTTTACATAACCTTAGACATTACRGATGCCAGTGGTTTCACATGCAAGTGAGGTTAATGGGTCACTTTAGCACTTTTGACTCAATTGCCTCGCTTATGCCAATGTTTTTATAAACACGGCTCAACTGTGCAAAACAGAATGAGAACATCAAGTAAGGTTAATGGGTCACTTTAACCCTTTTGACTCAATTGCTTCGCTTCTTTTGTTTTTAAAAACTCGGCTCAACTGTGCAACATCGAAAAGAATGGCATCTTTAAAGTCTTTTAATAAACTAATAACCAACATTTGACAGTTGAGTATTTTCTTTGATCATCAATGTTACTCCAATCTAAATAGGCTTTGCACCTTCACGTGGTGRCAGCCATGACAGGAGGCAAGAACAATCAAAYCTGGTCTAATCTGATTTAAGTGAGAAAGAATTCAGTTTTCTGGAAGAAAAATACTCTATTGTCATGCCTCCTGTTATGGCTGCCATCACGTGATGATGCAAARCATCTTTTGTTGTCAATGGTATTGTGACATAATGATGCAATCAGTCTTTTTCATGCGTACTGTAGTATGCAAGGCAGTCAGCCTTGATGGTGACACATGCTGGCACAGTTGTCCTAAGGTCATGTCCTCTATTCTATTCCTWTTTATTTCCAGGAAGAAAAACAGTCGGAACAAAGTAGTCATATAATCATAAATTGACAACCCTCTACCATRTTAACCRAGTTAGACCCTTTCARCTTGGGTATAATGTTTTCCCATTTCAGACCATGTGTGGTTCCTTGAGTATCATTTCTTTGTTTAACCCCGATCACATATAACATCTACAATACTAGATTCCATTAGTTCAGATTCCACACTTCGATTGACAGCACTGTTCACCACCTCATCCAATAACACATGAACGAGATTTTCGTCTGATACAAACCGCCAAAGATAAAGCTGTAGATAATGTGTATCTACTTGAATCTGCTGTAGACCATATTTACCAAAGGTACGCAGTCTGACGCACTCCAGGAGAGTCTAAAAAGGTTAATTCTTGTTTAGAATGCAAAAATATTGGAGTGGAAGAAAATGGACCAAGTGTCAGGCTCTACTGACTTACACTAGCAGATGTAGGCAAGCTTTACTAGGTTCAGGGCAGGTTTAGTGTAGTGTAGTGTATGGGACAAACATAGTGAACTGTGGAAAAGTCAGACCCTGATTCCCAGACAAAATTATCTTACCTTTAGTGCTATTTTCACAAYCCCTGTGAGAACAGAAACTTTAGAAAATTCTACTGGACTAAATATCTCGATTTTCTCTGAGAAAAGTTTCTGGATGTTACTGAGAAGACTTGAATCAAAGCCAGTACTAAAAAGAAAGTAAAAGATGACATATTGTGAGCCTTGCAGGGCAAAGCTGTAGCTATATTGAAACAAATAGACCTTGGGTGTAATTTCTTACCAATTCTGACCATGTGTCATTCCCTTGAGTATCTACCCTGCGAGCAGAGTCTCCTTTTACCCGTAGAGGAGTTAAAAGGAGACTCTGCTCGCAGGGTATTGAGTATCATTTCTTTGTTTAAAAGTTGTGCATGAGAAGATGCATTAATTTGGATACAACTCAAACAAAGAATCTTACTTCACAAGAATGAAATATATGAAATTGAAAAACATTATACAAATTAAGTTAAATGGTTACTTTGAGGGTCAAATACCTTGGAGTGTAGCTAAACTGAGACCGGCTTGGCTTTGCTTGGCTTGATAATGAGTAAGCAAATTTACTTGAATCTGTCAAAGGAGAATAAGATATAAGATACCAACAATTGGATTTCTAATTCATCAATGTGAGGTGTGAGCCTTCCTCACTCCCTTCTCATTCAGCTGCACCACTCAAACATTCCCTTCCCATTTCTACTTAATATCTCATTCATCCTTCCTCTCATCCTATCCCACTAAGGCTGCATTCATAATGTATGGCGGGGGGGGGGGGGG